AGAGAATGTTTGAAGGAGAAACCTAGAACGACCAAGTAAGGGAAACTAGTTCTGGAAAATATCACGATCAATAAAGCATCTTTGAATGGGCTATCACATTACTTCATTATCACATAAGTGGAAATAACAAATGTGTCACACGAGTGTTTTCAGATCTTAAACCAAGTGGAACGTCTGCTTTGGGGGGCTGCCTAGTCGGCGTCTCTGAAATCAATCTACCAGGCTCATATTAACAAACAGCCAAGCGTGAAATAGAAGCCTGCATCTGCAGAGCTCCATCTCCTGACGATGCCATGATACGTGTCAAGCATTGTTTTCTTTTCTGCTCAATGGCTCTGTGTGATCAGGGACAAAAGGGGCCTTTTGCCGCCATTGCGCACCTGTACATATATTAAACTCTGTGAATTCCTCCCGTTTTCTTTCTTAACATTTCCTCAGCTGTAAATATTCTCAAGTGAGCTTCTAACGATACCTAGCAAAGGTTTTACACACTGACAGAGCAGAAATGGTGCATGACTTGGGAATGAGAAGGAACAGGTGACTTTAATCGATTCCAGACAAAGCTGAACATGCATCACTCCACTAGATGACACAAAGATTTTAGCCGTGACGCACACCTGTCCTGCGAAAAAATAGAATAAAATGAAAAAAGAATTGGGTACATCTTGGAGATGCATTATTCTCTATGTTAGAAAAAAAAAACAATTTTCCAAATTTTTTTTTTTAAATATTTATGCTTACATCATCACATATGTAAACTGATAAAGAAAAACAGAAAAATAGAAAAAAGATCCAGGCACTCCAGGATACAAAATGGCAAATTTATTGAATCTACTGCCACTCACAACATTTTGACCTACATGGTCTTTGTCAAGCTAGGTCGAAATGTGTAGGTCGCAACGTTGTGATTGGCAGTGGGTTCAATAAATTTGCCGTTTTGTATCCTGGAATGCCTGGACGTTTTTTCTATTTTTCTTTATCAAGTATTTGGTCCCTGGTACTGGGACTGGCCTGGTTGCACCCAGATACATATTGCTTGGGATATATTATGATTATATATGTAAACTTATAGTCAGATGCGGGACACCAGGGATCTAAAATCGGGAAGGTGGAACAGGACCCTGCCTGGAGTGTTGGGAGCCCTGGAATTATCAGGAGTTCAAAGTGAATTTCAAATTTGAGGTCAAAATAACTGAACTGTAAACCCAGCAAAAATTATTCCCCTCCGGCTTTTGTAATATAAAATTATTGTTATGTTAATTAACGACAACGGATACTATAGCTGAAATGTATTCATAAACATAAAGGTTCACTTTATTTGCCTTGCCTAATTTAAAGTTTTTCATAGTACACAGGTGAGTAATGTAGATATTTGGCAACTTGCTGGGTTTCGCCCAGAGACTCTGAGTTTAGAGGCTGAGCTACAGGATTAATGACTCATTTCTGGATGGGAGAGAAGTGACATGTATCTACCCCACTCCTTGTCTGGCATTACCGCACCATGTGAAAAGTCCACCTAATTTAAAGATGGGTCTGGGTGACTCTGTCCATATTTCTGGGAGGGAGCACACGTTACAGATGGAACCCTCTTTTCACTCCGTTCCTAGTTCCATATTTAAAGATCTCTGTGAGAGGGGAAATTGAATGTGGGATGGATTGTGCCATAACCAGTGTCAAGTGACAGACAACTACAAAATACTCACAATTACTAATAGATTTCCTTAATTAGCGATTGAATAAGGCATTCTAGAGGCATCTTTTTTAATGTTTTTACAGAAATCACAAGAGCGTCATTATGGTTAGATCTCTAGATCACCACCAACATTCCCGGTCTTGTCATAGTTCCACCCCTCTCTATTTAACCAGTAATCTGTGGATAATCAAAATGTGAGATGCAAAATGTATTCAAAAAAGGCAAATTGGAAAAATTATACAACATACCTATGATTGCAAATTTGTTGTTTTAGCCTGAATGCTGCAATTTTGATTTTAATTCACAATACTTTCTGTTTAGTGAATAATACCCCAAATTAAATTATCCTGGTTACAGTAAAAAGCCCTGTACTTTTATATACTGTTGTTGGATCCATCAGTCAATGTAACCACCAGAAATAGAAAGGAGACTTGCACTTTTCGTGCAGACAAGTGTAAGATAAACACACAGCATCATTTATCTTCAAAGGGTGAGACTTGCTCTATTACCAAGATTCCAGGTCCCGGTTTACCTTATTTATAGCAGTGATTTATTGGTTGCTGGGTCTACAGGCACATATGTCTGGGGAACTCAAATCCCCACATTCCCTTCTGCTGCAAACATGGATGTTAATCTCCAGCGGCCACCATTTGATGGTGTCAATGAGTTTAACTCTTCCATGGTCAAAGAGAAAAATCATCACGCCAATGGAACTTGTTGTTTATAAAACATAATCATTTGTGACATCACTCATTTACTTAAGGGACACTCCAGGCTCGAGCCAACTCCACCTATTCAATATATTATGAAGAGAATTTTTTAAAAGCTGCTATTATAAAAAGATGCAAATATTTAATTTATATATATATACATATTTTTTTTTTTCTCCCTTAAAGTGTAATTGGATGCTGTAAATTTGCAGCTTCTTCAGGGACCAGGAATTGGCTCAAATTTCTCAGTCAATTGTAGCAATCCCTGCTTGTTGAGAATAAAGAGTTAAGATAACTGTACAGATTGTATATTCAGTAACAAGGATGTATCCATCACAAAACAAGCATACATAAGGACAGCATTCAAGGAGAGACGATGAAATATTTTCCATCTGGTCTGCTCATTTAACATATTGTCTACGCAGCATGAGACTCCAATATCAGATCATAAACTAATCAATTACTTTACAGCGATCATTTCCGTCCTGTCAAGAGCAAAATAAAAATATATCAGATATATGAGAACATGCTTTATAGTGTAACGCTGACATTAATGCCTGGTTTTTAAAAAAAAGAAGCTATGCCCAGAAAGAGGGATTTATCTCACTGAAAACAACCCCTTAAAATAGATGTCACCTTGACACAACTCAACTCCAATAGAACATATGAACGTGGCAACAATGCGTTTAAATGGTTTATCTGTTTGAGATTACTTCTAGGATACCTATCCATTTACTGGCTTGGAGTTATTTCGATTTGTCTTTACCCTCATATTGATGAACATCTTCCTCCTGATTGGCTCCTTATTCTGTTTAGGTTTTAATCAGTTTTTTTTTTTTTACCTTACATCTCTCAGTATAAATTAGGTTTTAAACCTCTTAATGACCTTAAGATATTCCATTGTATTCTAGAAATTCTGATCTATAATATATTTGTATGTTTAAATCATAATAAATGTTTTGGGAAGTAAAAATAAAGCCGTATCTGTCTTTTTAAAATGATCTAAATGTATTTGTTGCACTTAATTCACATCACAGATGAACATGCACATAGCAAAATTCTACCTTTTGGTTGGTTATGGAATTAGACAATGCCTTGGTTGTTAAAGGGTAAAATGGATGCCAGGAATAATTAAAGGGTTACTCCAAAACACCATAACCACTACAGCTTGATGTAGTAGTTCACCACTGCTTCCTTCTTCGTAGATCCTGATTAGGAAGTGGTATGCACACCACGTGTACATATTTGTATATTTATAAACTTAGTAGTTTCATACCATGAATCGCAGAGAAGGGTACGGATTTATTTACAGAGTTTTGGATATACTGAGAGTCTGGGAGTCAACTAGTAGCACAGGAGTCTAAAATGTGTCCTATAAACCTTGGTTTTACTATATGGAGAATGCCAGATTCAAAGTCAAGAGAAACCATTACTCACTTCTTCCATGATGATCTCTCAGAAATAGCAAACCCCTAAGAATGAAACAATTTAAACCCATGGAACAAACTTTTGGAAAATTATGAATATCCCATTTATAAACTTTCAGGAAAGCTTCAAATTATGCAAATGAGCTGAAAACAAAACTTGAATAAATGAGAAGTGCAAAACTCACTTGGCAGGAAAAAACTGCCGATGCCATGTTTGTACTGCTTTGAAGAGGATCCTAAAACACAGGCTAAGCTAACTAGCCCAGGAAAACATATACTAACCAGAAAAAGAGGACTTCACAAAAGTAACAAAGAAAGGTATGAATTGTGCAGGTAAATACATTTCAATCTTTCTTTGTGGCTGGATATCATGAGGAGTGTAGTCTTCAAAATGAAAATAACACAAAAAGACGAGAAAAAAACCAAAACAAACAAATGCAATACGATTGGAAAAAGAAACAGACAACAACAAAACAATGGTTTTACAGCTTTGGATATAATACACTGGTTGACACAATAATAACATCCAAAGTTGGTATGCTAAGGTAGATGTATGAACTTCGACTTTAGCATAGCAGACCAGAAGGACTGTGGGAACTCAGCAGTCAGAAAAATGTCAAACTGTTTGACAACTCACCCTGGGACAGAAACTGGAGCTGCTGGCACCATCACCACTAAAACTTGCTGTAGTAGTTATGGTGCTTTAGTGTGACACAAATTTCTATACTTTTTAAAAAACTATTTTTCTTCACAATTATTCATCTTGTGACCCTACACCCAACATGAATTGTATCATTTATTTTCTTTATAGTACAGATGTATGTGAAATCACACATAGCTGTAGATCTTGTTATTTGATTATTTGTAAACTGAATTACAGTTACCTAATCCATACTCTGCCCATAAACCCATGTGTGCATGTTAAATGGAAAGCTATGGAATCATAATTACTATTATTGGTATTTATAGAGCACCAACATATTCTACCATGCTTTACAATATTATAAAAGGGGCCAATTTATAAAAAAAATTAGACAATTACAAAATATTAATGATTAGTGATGTCCTGAACGGTTCGCCGAACGGTTCGCCACGGACGGCAAACATATGCGCTGTTCGGTCCGCCCCCTATGTCATCATTGAGTAAACTTTAACCCTATACCTCACAGTCAGCAGACACATTCCAGCCAATCAGCAGCAGACCCTCCCTCCCAGACCCTCCTACCTCCTGGACAGCATCCATTTTACATTCATTGTGAGCTGTCCAGGAGATGGGAGGATCTGGGAGGGAGGGTCTGCTGCTGATTGGCTGGAATGTGTCTGCTGACTGTGAGGTACAGGGTCAAAGTTTACTCAATGATGATGAATAGGGGGCGGACCGAACAGCGCATATGTTCGCCGTCCGCGTCGAACCGTTCGGGATATCACTATTAATGATTAGTTGAACCACCTCCTGATTTTGGTGAGAATTCATTGGAGAAGCATCACGTCCAATAGTGAGTGTATTAATTTTTATATGAATATTTAAATGCATTATCTATATCTAAACTATAGATAATAATTAGCTATGCTTGATCTATATTTAACCATTTATTATTCATTATAGAAGTAAACAAATAAGAGAGAGTACAGTAATACATTGCAAATTTGAGGATATTTTCAATGCACGGTTTGCCTTTGAAGACTCAAGCAATTTGTCATCTCCGGTTGGCTTTTTGTCGACTTTTGTGGTCCCCTATCATAACACACCCACATAACTGACTTTCAAATTACAAGAAATCCTATTTTGTCTTTTGGTTGCATTAGGCAATTTTTTCCCTTTGCTGGTCAATTCATGCATAATCTTCCATCCCATTTCAGCCTGCCTACAGACACATGCCTATTGGAGATCATTCATCTACAAGTAAAGACAAATTTACCAAGCTGGGAAGGACAATGCCTTAGTTAGCACATGAAAGGCTTTCTGGGGTCCAAATGACCCAAATTTTGGCACACATCCAACTAGGAAAGCAGGTGGTGGCCTGCCTGCAGCCTATCAAAATACCTTTCTTGGGGGAAAAAACACAAAAGTAAAGGCATCTGCTCCTCTGAAAGACTGTGTTTTGCAAGTACTCACTCCAATTTCAGGAGAACGAAGTCTCTAAAAGGATCACTGAGATAAACAAGGAAAAATAATGACTCACAGGTGACCAGGTTCCACAGACTAAACAATAATAGATTATGGTGCATGTCACTTTGTAATCACTACAGATAAAACTCTGCATGATGGAATCCTAAACTCATTTTCAGATTCCAAACAGCTGGTGGGTAAGTCAGCAGCATTTACCTCCACACATTTTTTACCAAGAATGAACATAATTATATTTCAGGTAGAGGCTGGGAGATGTGGAGGCCAGAATGAGCAAAGCTAAACTGCTAACTGTATAAGTGCAAGAGGGATCTCACCCGAGTATAGTGCTTAAGGGTACAAGGGTATCACACTTTTCTGCCTCTTATGTGTCTGATCTTTATTACATGTCTTCAGCTAAGAACAAAAAAATAGAGGTGCAGGAGGCAATGGCACAGATCGACAGAGGAACAATTCATTCACCCACAAGAGGATGTAAACAAACTCAGGCAAGCAGGACAGGAACCTAAAATGTGCTGTGAACTTTGTGGTAATAAAAACAAAATAAAAAATAAAATAAATTAGACTGTTTAATTTACCATTAAAGTCCAGCAAAATGACTAAGAAAATCAAGCTTCTTCATTGGAAAAGTCAGGATATGAGAGAAATGAAGGGGATTCGGTCAGAGAGGAGGTAAGACAAGGATGTTCTTCCTGAGTCACAAACAGAGTCACTGGCATGGTGCCCTCTGGACCAATCTTTGACTTTCCCGATTTTGTACCTCCCAAAGTATAGATAGCAGATCAAAATAGCAAAATATCCCCAACTCTACAGCTGAATTGTAATTTCTGACACTATTTCACCGCTCTATTAACCTCAGCAATATAAGTGATGTATGTATGCAATATAGAAAGACAAACTTCTAAATAATTCTGCTTTCTTAAAAATAATAACCACATCAAATACATTTTGGTTTATAGAAATCTTCGCAAACTATTGGTGTTGGTGGAAAGGGTGTTGGGGTTAGATTCCTAAAACCCATGACCGTTTTTTGAACTTAACCAATCATACAATTTTCATTAAAACACATCCTTATCGTCTTAACATTAATTAATCTCCTTTATCATCACCTCCCCTATTTATCTGAAACACAACTCTCTATGAGCCTCCCTTGAGATATATCCCATTTCTTCCTGTTCTTTTTCTATAACACCCAGAATTCGAAGGCCTCATTTTATAGCTTTAGAAATCATAACATTTCATATGTATAAATAAGTACATCTGCTTTCGTCCTCGGAGTCGTTTAATTGACATGTAACTAATCTAACTCTATGTCTAGGCTATGTCATCTTCGGGCCAAGAATAACATTCTTTTGGACAATTCAGTAGCTGTAAGATAAATCGAAACAGTTTTTTTTAAACAAAATATATAAGGAATTACAGACTTGAACATCGCAGAGTTTCCTAAAAGAATGTTCTTGTGAAAATGCCTACAATATGTGAATAATGATATTAATCTAAGAAAGAGGAAGAAAAAATAGTAAAAAGATACCGGCCAACAGAAATATCACTTTCCTGCCAGTAAAAGACGCTAGGAGTATATGAATTTTATGAATTTCAGGATTTATTTTACAATATACATTAAAAGGTTCTGCCACATCGGCGTGTTTTTACAGCATGGATTACTTATCATGAAAACACATGGGCAGTGTATTTTACAAGCCCTCTCAGGGTGTCAATACTGATTAAGAGCAAGACCCCCTGTCCTAGATATGAAGTGTCAGATGGGACTCACTAAATAGATTTTCGGAATGTTATTTCAAAAAGCTCGTGTAGACCATGTAAAGTAGCTTTTATATGGCCTATGGCCTACTTTAAACTAGCTTTAGAACTCAGGGAATATTGTGCTATACACTTGGTGTTACTTTCAACCGTCATAAACTGAAAAAGACAGACTTCATATGTGAATTATATGCCTCCCCACGTTCAAATGCTGGTCAGATACTTTACCAAGTGTCTTTGGGCAAGACACCTTACAATATGTATCCACCTACCTCATAGACTGTAAGCTTGTTTGAGCAAAGCCTTTTTCACCTCAAAATATTCTCTTTCTACAATTGTTAAGCACAGCAGAATATGCTAGCGCTATATAAATTCTACTAATAAATAACAGCTATGAAGCTTTTTAGTTATTTCAGAAGGAATATAGTCTACTCATGCCAATTTATCATGACACCTGGGTGCCACCAAGCCAACATTTTAGGAGATAATCTTAACTTGTAATGATATGCTATAGAAGATATTAACAGGGTACATTAAAAACATGAATGATACTTACTTGCCAAGATGTGGCTTTCAGATACCTATGTTTACCTTTCAAGTAATTATATTTACTGTAACCATCTCTAGAAGCGAACTAAAAGCAGCATGTGTCTAAATCCTTTCCAAATCAGGGGTCATATCTATTTGTAACAAGGAACTGCTGTGAAGGTAATGATTTAAGGATGGCGACAGATTTCAGATGGAGCTGCCTGTCAATGTGTAGTCTGATTTATTGTTCATAAAAATCCTCTTCACTTAAAATGGAGACAAGCCACCATGCCAGGCTATTTGCAAGCATAAATTAACAACACATGCCACTGACCTAATTATTTTGCATGAATTAGACACACCGCACAGTGCAAAAGTTTCAGACAGGAATCTATGAGCTAAGTATGTCTGGAAGGAAAATGTAGACTGCTATGTTTTACATATAGGAAACCCAAATATATTATCCAAATCATTCCACTCTCTATTTTAATTAAGAATATTAATATATATATGAGGAGGGTGGGGGGGGGGCACATTAGGGCAAGTGTTAGCACTTGAGCTGGTATACAAAACACAGCTATCCAGAAATGAATGCAAAAGGTGAGTTGGTACGCCAAAGCTTAAATATCGCAGCGAAAGAGCAACATATTCTAATAAATCTTTTTGTAGAACAAGTACCCCTGACAGTTTCTTACTGTACCTTGTAAATCATTACCGTTCATGCCCAGAGCTTTCAGAATTAAAATGGAAAACCTGACACCATTTACAATTTCCTGCCACTGTATATCTGTCAGCAATGTGCGCACTCCATCAGTTCCAAAACCTGATAAAAATAACGTGCTTCACGATCTTTTTTTTCTCTCCCTACCTAGACTATTTCCTTGTCTGTTAAGAGCATACAAATCCAGGTTTGAGGCCTCCAAACCGAAACACTTTTAATGCAGACCTTTGTGCGGCAGGAAATTGGAATATTCAATTTGTAAAGAAATGAGTGCAAATGCCGGGATTCTGACAATTGTATAGGTATGTCCCTGAAGTAACCTTAGCATTGGGGCATTCTCAGGTTTCTTGGTGATTGTTCCCTGCTGAGAGTTGTACTTGTGACTAGAAAGGAGGGGAAATGTTTTTTGCTGTTATTTAATTGTTCCTTCTTTTTCCAAGCTGCAGATGATAAAAAAAAAACCTTATTTTCTTCACAGCTGCCTTAACTCCCCTTACTTGCTTTGCTACAAATGGATTATACAAACACAAGCCAGTGAAAGGCCTTAAAAATGAATTATACCAAGATGCAATTATAGGGGGAGATTGCAATTTCCGTTTGGACCTACTTTGAAATACAAATTCCCCTATGGTCAATATTATTGTAAAAGAAAAAGGTCCTATTGCTATGAAATGCTTCATATGCTTTTTCTGACCCTTGGAGAGTGTTAGCCTCACAGTCTAAGATTACTATTTCTATTCATGAGTGCACAACTCACACAATGACTAGAATATACTGATTTATACTCCATGATACCACCCTTAAGAAAGTCAGCACCACCACCACTGCCCATTGGTTGCACAACACATACCCATTACTTTGATATTAGTGTCTTTTAGCCCATGAATGACATTCTTCTGCATAACCGACAACTCGTTCATTACAATCAGGTTGGCTTTGTGAAACACAGTCAGATCTCAGATAAGGAAGATCCACAACATTATCCATTATACAGACACTACTCACTAAAAGAAGCTTTTCTTGGCATGGATTTGCCAAAAAAAACTATTGATTGCGTAAACTGGGCATACATAAATAACTATACCTTGAATTGTTTTGTTATTCCAGACCCACTGATAAGTATGAAAATAACTCTCCGTATACAATTGTCCGCAAGAGCTACCAAGACACTAAAAAACAAAGAGGCTG